TCAATCAGGGAAAATATGCATTCGAAAAAAAACATTATAAAGCTAATTAGCTAGTGTATTTAGCAGTCTAGTCTAGAACTAACTGTCACTGCTTCGTCGCTTTAGCTATTGTGCCACTTAGAGGTTTCTTTTTTAAGAAATATATTCTTTGATCCATTACTTGACTACAATAAGATGGCTAAGTGATTTACTATATATCGTACGTTTGTGTGCTATCATCAGCTGTTTCAGACTCCACCAAATTTGCATCCATTTTACCCCTAATGATATCTATGTTATAGCTCTAAGTCAGAAATATTGGTAGAAAAGCATATGGTAATTGAAACACTGCGGCTAAAGAAATTATTTATAAGAGAAAATTCCACGCTAGTCGTAGTCGAAAAGAATTAAAGGATCTCCGTTAATGGAGAAAGATGACAGCATCGTTCATTACAAAGATAATTTAACCTCGGTTTTGGAGTTGTTGCGGTTTGATAGTTAAGCATCTGGAAACAGAAAACGGAGAAGGTAACGGAGAAGGTACATTCGAGAATACAAATATTTGATTTCACAACCATGCCTGTAGAGAAGATAATCGCACAAGAAGGAGAAATTATGAGTATATCATTTATAAGGATGAGAATCTAAGCTCCAAGAAACCAGACTCATTAACCTTAAGAGACTGCGTGGTTCACAGGTACGATGAAGTATTATTGCAAACATATGTTGGCCTGCGGGACAAGAACTATATTATGAACTGTGAAAGAAATATTCGAAATGACCTTGACAGAAAAGACGTGTTTAATAATGTAATTTGGATCAGATGAAAACTCTTTCGCCTTTTCAAATAAGAAAGCGAACGATCAACTTGATGTTTCAACAGGACGATTTATTTATAGGAGAGAGATAAGCAATTCTCTTTATTCAAATTTCTCTCTTCATTATTTTCAAATACAGTGATGTTTTAATTATTGCTCTGAAGGGGAGGTTATAAATGTTTGTATGTTTTTTATGAGAAATTTTGATTTTTACCTGCGTATTCAAACTTTCACTGGCCTTTTTTCCTCTGTCTTTTATGTTAAAAACACGCACATATATTTGAGAGTTTGGAGATTAAGAGACCTTCTGAATTAAGAGGTAACAGTATAGAAATGGGCTTAGAGTTTAAGAAACAAATGTTTTAATGTACAAAAAATGGTGTCACAACTAATCTGAATCAGCAGGAAAACAACATGAATAAAATCTTTTCTCCACATATTCGGAGAATTTAAAAAATTTGCAGTAGGATTAAAAGATTTTTGGTTTACGTTCCGTGAACATGCCGTCAAGTTTTCAGGTTATTTAAACTATTGCAAGTGCAGTATCATAAAAAAACCCTAAAAAATATCATCTCAAAATTATCACATGCTGCCTTGTTGTACGATGTTAGAATCCCTCTATATACAAGTTAGAATTCAATATATAGTGCAATTCACTTAAACGTTTTACAATGCATTTAAAAAAAGTTTGTCCGACTAAATACGTCTTGAATGACTAATCATAGACCCTCAGTTCCAATTTAAAAGTGAATGCTATGATAAACTTTCAGAAGGTTACATTTTTAACCACTTTATTAGAAATATACAAAATATTATCTTTTACTTATTTTTAACAATAGACATGTATTTTTCATGAATTAAGTGTGTACATACAATATTTTGGGAAACAAAGTCAAGGGCTATATAAAAATTAAAATTTTTTAATGCGAATACTGCTTTTAAACTGAACTTTATATTTGATTATACTATTATTTCTAAACTAATGAAATGGCTGCCGTGTAGTATTATGAGAAATCGTGTAATATTAACCTGTAATATTATGAAATAGCTATCATGTAATATTATGAGAAATTGGAAATAATTTTAATAACTTTTTATTTGAATTTTGGATTTTTTAAGTTTCAGAGTTAAAAAATTTTGCTTAATGTTTGTTTGAATTAATATATTTCAAGGATTTTGCTTTGTTATAAAATTCTACTTTTATAATAGAATAAATCTGTGATTTTGTGTCTTTCAAATTAATATAATTCTGTACTTCTTTATTTATAATTTTGTAACTTTTAATATTAGAAATACCATGGAAACACATCTGTTCTTAAGATATGCATTGGTTTCTAATTTTATTCTCTTTCATTGTCAATGTAATCGAACAAAATACGATACACTTCATACCGTAAAAAGTATCCGAGATATGACTAATTAAAATTTTTGAGAGACGAATGAGGAGTATGATTTAAAGAAAGCTATGTTTCTGACGTTTTGAATGTAGTTTTCTAAAAGACACCATTTATGGTTTAAAATCGTATCTCTAGGAGCATAGATTTTAAGTTCCCTTAACCAGAAGCGTGAAAACTTGAATTTTCTTATTTATCTAAAGTAATTCAACTTTTATACGGCCCCGAAATAGATTTACTAGCCTTTTCCAAAATGTGTGAATTGTCATCTATAATGTTGACGATATGTTTCCGAGGTAAATTTAGCATTTCTCATTGTAAGGAATTAAAATCATTCCTCTACCGCGATCTTGTGATGCTACAAGTAGCATATCATTATGGCACACCAAAAATGCCATCTTCGTATCCTAGAACATGGTTTATTTTCAATTATTTCTCAGGCCTAAATTCCACCCGTTCTCTAAAACAGAATATTGGTTTTTGAGAAAATGTCTTAAGTAGTATAAAGAACGATTTACGAAAGGGAATTTCGTTTGCAGATTTTTTTTTTTTGAATAAAAATTTGAGTTTCGTATTTTTTTTTCTATTAAAACGTGTCATGTGACCAAATTCATTGTAGTTTGGAAGATAACAGATATAATTTTAAAGAAACTGTCTTCAGTAGCATAACGAACGATTTATTAACTAGAATGTTTTTCGCAGAGGGTTCAGGTCAGACTTTAAATTTCTTACTCCTTCACTAAAGCGGGTCATGTGACCTAAATTATAGTAATCTGAGAGATAACATATGTAATTTATTCCTCTATCTGGAATTATAGTTAAATGTCCTACCATTCAAGATGTATTCTGCTTTCTTGACAGTGGGCCCCGGGCTGCGTAAGCATATGCCCTGAACAAGTGGTCAGCTTGTCGCAGGACCCCCAGTGTTTAGTCCTCAAGCGAACTTGGTATTCATTTTATCCACCCAAGTGATGGAAATCAAGAGATGAAAGGCTGAGTCGACCTTGCTCAACCCGGGAATCGAACCCCGGACGTGTGGTGTTGTTACGCGATGCGCTAGCCACTGCGCCATCGGGCTTTGAATTAATAATATGAAATAAATTAATAATATTGAATTAATAATATGAAATAAATATTTTTTGTAGCCGTATTAGAGCGATCCATGGAAACTTCATGAATCCATTATTCGTGAAAGAGAGGGAAAAGAAAGATTCAACTGAATTTAAGCGAAATAAAATTTGTGACATTCGTGAAAAGGAATAAAAAGCGAAATAAAGAAGTAACACCCGTAAAACTTCCGAATTAAAAGTCTGCGTGCTAAATAATTAATATTAATTACTAAACGGAAATTAGCAGTGAAAATTTAAATTTATAATTTTGAACATGTTTCATGAAAATCTGCTTCAGTGAAACTGAAGACGTTTCATTGGGTTCGAATGTAACTATGGAAGAAATTAAGGGAATTCCTTTGTGTCTTTGAGGTTTAGGGGTAAACACGTCGAGCTCATAGTTACAAGAACTCGGGCTCGATTCCAGCTCGAGGGCAAAGCTAAATTTTTAAGATTCTTGCTTTCAAAGATTATGCAATAGAAGTTAAAAACTTGAAACCCTTAAGTGTTTTAGCAGAGCATCAGTGATTTCATTATTTACTTTACAAATCTATCTCTGATTTATTAGCATACGCTATTTTTTTCATTCAAAAGTTAATTAGACTGGAACGGGAAACGTGATCTGAACCACTACGAGTGCGCATGCTCTCAAACTAGACAGGTATTGAACGGGTGAATGAGTTGGGCTTGAATGGACTACGATCGCGTTATGCACTACGAGGTGGTTTTCTTTCTTTCTTTATGGTGTTATTTAACATCTGCAACTTAATAATTATATGTCTTTTAAAATTTCTTCCCTTTTTTGTGAACACTAGTTTTGCAGAACAAATATGGAAAAGAAATAGGAATCTTAGTAGTTTATTAAACTGTAAATGTTGGACTTAGGTTCGATTCTAGCTAAACAGGAGCTCTCTCAGGGTTATAAAAATACAAACTATTATTAAAATTGGTAATGTTCTAAAGCTGCTTGTATGAGCTGAGACTAATCTCACTGATATGAAAGACAGAGAATATGAAGGTCCTTCTTTTCCTTGGGGTAGAGAATTTATCATACAAGAGATTATTTTAATGCAAAGAAATTGAGGACTGAAGCAAGTGCGCAAGTGGACTGTTGGTAAGATACTGCTTGAAGAGATCAGTATTTCATGTTGAGTTTTATTTTAATGAAAATAATTTTAGTTCATTTCAGTTATCAATATCTTAGTGTAATACGCACGCTTTCTATTCGATAGTCATAATTTTCTACAGAATTCATTAACAAAGTTTCTTCAGCCAATAATCTGTTTATGAGAAAAATTAAACTCTTTGGCGTCCGTTATGAGCCGGATGCAAGGAATCAAAGCAAGTCTGTGTGTAGTCCAAACTAATTTCCTAATAGAGAGAAGCTTCATTTGTATACAATGAAAGGAGAAAAATTGATCTTAGGCAGCCGAAAGTTTGGCACTCGTTTCTCCCCATTACGATAGCAGTGGCACTCCCGCAGCATTTTTATCAGACGATCGCTCGCTTTCCCCTCCCCCCGCACCAAAGCGAATGGCCCATTTCTGACGTCAACCGCGCAGAAGTCACCCATTGGCTGCGCAACTGACGTGTTATTTCCGTAACTTATTCATGAGCCCCCTCACACATCTGACAGCAGCACATGTATATGTGCGTGACTGCCGCTCTCCGTTACCCCATCACCTAAGGACGGACGGGCCCTTTAACTCGTGACCTAGATGGCCCGCTCCGAAACCTCGCCGGGACTCACGAGAAGAATCCGGGAAGCGAAGGGGTGCCACATCTACTACTACTACTACTACTACTCCTACCCAGAATGCAATGGCGCAGACACCACTCAAACTCGCAGTATACGGCAGCCATGTCTTCTAACAGACGTTGCTGTGACGCTCTTTTAAGACTACCACGCGCTTGCTTCGGATTTGGTACTCTTGCTCTGACAGCAGGGCTGTGCTGGCGGTGCTACTACCACTGCTGCTATGTGTGCTACTCTCGGTGAGTCGGACGTCTGCTAGGATATCACCAGTCTTCCATTTTAATAATCGTAGGCCACCTATGTCTGAGGCGCAGAATGAGACAGGGGGCCCAGTGCCCCTCATGCCTCCACCGATGCCGGATCTCAGTCATCTGACCCCCGAAGAGAGGGAGATCATAGAAAATGTCATATCGAGGCAGAAAAAAGAAGAAGAGAAGGAAATGGAAATTCTGAGGTACGTAAAACTTGTCTTGAAAATAATTATATATTCCGGAAAAAATAATTTCTCAGAATATTTGTCTTGTTTCATTTCCTAATGATCTAAAGCCCAATGGGACATATATTCATTATTCTGTGCTTTCATAACATGTAACTTTCTAAACGTTATGAGAATATATTAAGTGCATTTAAGTTTGATAAATGTAATATAATAAAAAGTGCAGGAAATAAGAATATTTCTCTTTGCTGGAGCTAAATTGTTCGAGTTTTGGTTTACACATGGTATAATATTTAATAAGAGAAAATTTCGATTATTATACGTTTGATCATTTAATGGAAAATAACATTAAATTTTGCATTACTTAAGATGGCAATTGGAAAGATAAGGAAATTTTTATACATTTTAATGAAAAATGTGCGTTGGAATTTTCTTGGTGGAAGGAAATATGTTTTGTGTTGAAAATTGATTTCTTTCAATTGCAACAGCTGCAGTGAAATTTTATCTTACTATATTCATGTTTTAACAAAGAGGCAAATCTGAAAAATCTGGACGCGGATATGAAAAGCGTACTAAGTGGATGTTTGTGCACAAATTATTTTAAAAGCAAAATGCATTAAAAACGTAAATACATGCTTGAAATCATGTTAAGTATTTTCGCGTTTTAATATCAATTTAATTCAAAGAAGATTCTGCAGAAACTATGAGTTTTATTTAAAATTTTATGCATGGTGTACATTCTACTTCTACTGCAGTTTCGTTGTAATTTAACATCTGATATCTAGACATACGTAAGATAAGATATCTAGACATATGTAAAAAGATCTAGATAAGACTAGACAGAATATGTAGTAAGAAAGCACCATAATTTGCAACTTAAATTATATAAGTATCTAGGAAATTTTTAAACATCAAGTTTTGAAATCGGAATACACTAACAATGTATTTAAGATTTAGTTTAAAAAAAACCTCGTAGTTATAATCAAGCAAACTGGAATAAATTTCTGTAACATTTTAACCATCGAGAATACTGCAATTGCTTTCATGACAGAAACGTCTCGTTTGGTTGGAAAATAGCTTGCGAATTTCCAATTACTGTAAAGAGGTTTCCTTAGCAATCATGAGTCTTTCGCAGTGAAATAACCCACGAGGCAAATGTATTTGCATTGGTTGAATTGCAATGGGAAACGAAATTCAGCAATTTTTCGAAATCTCTTCCGTTTTATGGGAAACGAAACTTAGCTATTTTCGAAACCTATTCCATTTTAACGTATTTGCATTTTAAGAATGGGAAAATTAAACCCGTTGTTGTCCCTGTTTCGTTTGTATGAATGAATACATGCAATGTAAATTGCTTTGTATGAGAAATGAAACCGAAAATCTAGACCCATCATTTTAAGCAGTTTTTTAATGCTGATGAGCTTGAACGTTTTGATGAGAAAATTAGTTCAAATATAAATATATAACAGAAGTATGTTCAGAAAATTTCTAAATAGGATAATTTATTTTCTAAGCGTGCATATAAATTTTCTTTCCCTGAACAAAAACTAATTGTAGTAAAACATGAATTAACCTAATGTTTTTTTAAATCAGTATTCAGTAAGTTAAGAATTTAATGATATTTTTTAATGCAAAACTCAATCTGTCCGAAAACTTGATACCCAAATTTGATTTAAGTTACTGTTTCATAGAATTCACTTCTGAGAATTTAATGAATGTTTTTTCGATAAGTGAATTCTGGAAATTTAATCATGAAATTTATAGTTTCTCTAGCCACTCATGTTTTCATGACTACTATATTCCAAATTAGATTACAGCTAGAAATCTTTGGATTAAGTAACTTCACGTTTTACCTTTCAGAGCTTTTTAGCATTCATTTTTGCAACGATGCAGTGAATTCAATTTTTGGTATTAGTAAATAATAACTTTGAATAAATACTATAAAGAAAATTAGTAAAGAATAACGGTGAATAAAGCTATAAAGAAAAATGAATTCAATTATTTTTTTATAAAATTTATTTTACTTAAACAAGCAACCGGAAATCATTTTTAAGATTTTAATGTCCTACAAGAAATGTATAGTTACTGAAATGAATTACTAAATTACTAATGTATCTGTAAATCCTTCTTAGTTCCGTAAACAGAAAAAATAGTTTTTTATAACCTCTAATATAAATAAAATTCTACTTTACAAGGAAATGTAAACTCACCTGGAAACGTTCTAAATACATGATCTCAATGTTCGTAAGCTGTATAAATTTTAGGATTATCATTTTTAAAAAGAAATGTCTAAAAATTGCTTCTTAGTTTAAATAAATTTTCCTTAATTGCATTGATAACAGGTTAAAGAAGAAATTTAGAAAATGCAATTTAGAGAACTGGGTTAAGATATGCAAGCTATTTTATACAAACCATTTACTTTATTTTTCAAATGAGGACATGTCTTCTGCCTGCTGCGTAGGATAAATATTGCATGGCTATATGTTATGTTTACCTATTTTTATGAGAAGCCTTAGTCCCTAAAACGGGATTGGGAGTGGAAAACAAACGATTATAGAAATATTCTACATTGGTTAGATTGGAAAATGTTCTGAACAAAAGGAGCTTTGACACAAAAGGTTTTCTGTTATGATACGAAACCTTTCTTTCTTCGCTTTCTGTGCCTTATTCAACCAACTTGATACATACACCTCCTCTCGCGAACAAAAGCGTGACCTCTTTTTACGTTGTTACTTGTTCATTATATTTAACTTATGTTGTTTTATTGAGTAACGTAACTAATGTTTGAATTAGTTCATGAAACTTGATATAAACTAACAAAGCAATGACCGCTTTTATATTATTTTGTTTTACATGTGAAGCTAATTTTTATAACTGTATTTTTTAACTGGTTGGTTATTTACTTTCTTGAGGTATAAATGTATTTTGCATTAACCTTTTCAATGTTTCGTGCAGATTTTAACTGGTTGCTTATTTTTTTCTTAAGGTATACATGTGTTTTATATGCACCTTTTCACTGTTTTGTATAGATTTTAATTTATCATTATTTTCACTTTATAAGCACAACTGTATTTGGTGTAAATACAGAGTAAATATTTTCCTATTTTCCTCTTAAAATGAAATATTAAAACACATATCGTAGAATTTAAATTTTATTCTAAATATATTTAAATTTATTTTTGCTGAACTAAGGTTTATGATGTCGTTTTCTTTTCTTAAATGCCCTTCGATGTGAATTTTATGTACATATAATGTGTCTTAAATTTATGATAGAATGAAAGTTACATCTATTAATAATATGCATAAATTAAACATATGTAATTAATTAAAGACTGAAAGAATAAATAATTTTGAACCAACTCATTCAAAGACTGGATGAAAATACATAAATATAAAATCAGTACTACTTTAAAATTTCTAATTGAAAAACGTGCTTTTGTAAATGAAAAATGTAAAATTCAGTAGTTTTAAATTAGAAGAAGTACTGAAAACAATGTATATATATATATAAAAGCAGAAAAGGACCATTTTACAATTTTCATTTACAAGAACACAATATTAATTAAAATTTCAAATTAGTACCAATTTTAAATTTATGTATCTTCTTTGAAGTCTTTGAACGACTTGGTTCAAAATTAGTTACTCTTTTTGTTATGTATAACAGGAAAATGGAGTGAAGTAATACGAGTAAGTAAAGAGAAAGAACCGTGTTGATGCGAAGTTTTTAGATTTGTGATTTTGCGAAATGTTCAGTATTGCATAAAATAATATTTAACGAATGAAAACGACTCGAGAGTTACTGAAATGCAAGGAAATGGCTATCAGAAAAATGATATTCCAAAGTATTTAATGCTTCCGAAATTATGATCAATATTTTCTTTCTGAGAAACATGAAACTCCACTGACCGCTAGGAGCTGCCACGTGAAGGGGGGGACTGAATTTGTTTAAAGGGAACTCCACCAATCGAGTACAGACTCTACTGTCTTCAGCAAGACAGAAGAGTACAAACATTAGGGAACCATTCACATAACGTTCGTGGTTGCCATTCACTGTCCACGCATTGCCTTGTCTATTGTAGCTGATCATTGATTAAACCTCTCGAGGTATGGCACATCACTTGTTATGGATCATGTAATTCAGTCATTTGCATTTATATATCTACTACATTAAATTTAAAGTTTTAATGTGTACATGACTTCTATTTTAAGGGTATGCAAAATAAATGGGTATTTTTAATGGCAATTGTATAGTTATGTGACTTTGCATGGAACATGCGAGCCAGGACTTATTCAGCAGATGATAGAGCCACTCGTGTTTTTTAATGCAGTAGCCCATAGCCACATGTACCTAGCGACCTCCTGAAATGTGGCGACTTTGTTGTAGTATGTTTTTATTTTAATTTAATTTTCAATTAATTTTAATTTAATTTTCAATTAAATTAAAAAAGAAACTACCGTCTGTTAAAGTACTCAATTCAAATTAGTTAAATTCATGTAAAATATTTTTTACTCCATAGATTTGAAATTCGCGTTTGAAAATTTGTTTTGAATCGCGTTTGAAAATTTTCTCATGCTAGATGATATGATATTGCTGCTTTGAAGTCAAAGTAATTTCCAAAAAGGATGAATCAGTACTGAAGGTATAGATGCAACAGTAAAGGGAAATGTGTTTATGATACTAGATTCGAGACTAAAATCTATTATTTTATGATTGGAGAAATGCGGTGCTCTAAATTAACTGTTAATCTGAAATTAATAAAACTTAAACTAAGCTCTGTCATCACATTAGTCATGAAAATTGAGGTAAGGTTGTAGAGACATTAGGTATTTCGAAAGCAGAAGATGTGAAAAATGAGCAATGCCCTCGCCGGGACTCGAACCACGGACCTCTCGAATACGCGTCGAGCGGGCTGACCACTAAAACCACGAAGGTATGCTAAGAAGGCGGGAGAAATACCTTGTATACTCCCCCTTTTTAAAGGGCATCCTCTGCACATATTGAGTAGCGTAATATTTCT